TCTCTCTCTCTCTCTCTCACACACACACACACACACACACAGGTGCACATACAGTGACCCAGGTCAAGAGTCTGATGGGATCTCAACTTCAATCTCAGTTTCCCAGTTTCTGGGCCACCCCAGTCCCCCAGCCCAGCCTGTCTTTCAACAAGAGGCACATGCTACGAGCAGCTATTTTCCAGCTGAGCGCCTGACAAAGCCTGAGCCCAGTGGTCTCAAGCCTGGAGCCTCACCGGGCCCTCACACTTTATAGAAAGAGAAAGAGAAAAGGAAAGCCAGGAAGTACATGATTGCCCAATAGCTGTAACCTGGCAGCAGGCAACTGGGGACAGTGCCAGGCCCTAGCAGGAAAAACATACTCGGTCCTATTGATGAGGCCATAATCCACTCCCTTTCTCCAGCATCCACTCTCCTTCACCAATGAAATGACTTCTTGAATTTCAAACCAGTTACTGGCTGCAAAAGCAAACAATCTGGGGAGGTGACTGCTCCCACAGCCAATAGGGTAAACCACGGACACACAGACACACACACACACACATGCATGTCTCATAACCAGTACCCATTTGAAGGTGGCAAAACAGTCAGTCCCTAGATCACCTGCCCTAAAAACCTTGCTAGAAATGCAAGTTATCTGGCGCTGTCCTAGACCTCTGGAATAAAATCCTCTGCAAGTGGAACCAACGAATAAGTATTTTAAAAGAAGCACTCCAGGTGATTCCTATGCATGTTAAGTGCAAGTTTGTTAACTCACTTTTGGCAAATTTGCTACCCTTTCAGGGCTTGCCTTTCCGGATATAAGTATCAGTTCTGACTGCAGTTTCTATGTATCAGGACCAATTTAAATTCACGTTTGTATCTCATTCAATTCTTTTTTTCAACGTTTTATTTTTTTATTTTTGGGACAGAGAAAGACAGAGCATGAACGGGGGAGGGGCAGAGAGAGAGGGAGACACAGAATCGGAAACAGGCTCCAGGCTCTGAGCCATCAGCCCAGAGCCTGACGCGGGGCTCGAACTCACGGACCGCGAGATCGTGACCTGGCTGAAGTCGGACGCTTAACCGACTGCGCCACCCAGGCGCCCTGTATCTCATTCAATTCTAATAGCGACTTGTGAGGGAGGCTGTGGGGTTTTGTTTGTTTTCGCAGAAGGGGAAACTGAGTATAGAGATAAATTGCTCAAGGTCTCACAGATTACTACTACTCCTATTGCCTATACCCGCCCCTCTCGTAAATTAACTAGACAGGTTTCTGAAAAGGCCTCTCACCCAAAGGTATCTTGGGGCACAGTAGACTTTGCACCAGAGCCTTGTTTCACATTTCCCAGAATAAAAAACGCATCCTAATGAAACTCTGAGTCAATTTTAGAGCTGGAAAGGACCGAAGTGTCAAGCTTACTTCCCACCCGCCGCAGTGCAGAACCCCACGGTATGCTGGGCTGCCAGATTATAAGAACTGAGTTGAGAAACTGGACCTCATACATTCATTCAACCACACATTCATTTACTAAACCCATCCTACGATCTGGCACCTTCTACTTCCTCTTCCCATTCCACTCTTTTGGACAGTCTGCTCCAAGTAAAATTCAACGTAAGTCTCATCTTCTTTGGGGAGTTTTCTCATCTCAAGACAGGACACTATCCTCTAGGCACCCTGCATCAACCGTCCTCCTCACTTACTGGGCAATCATCGTATGCTGGCTAGTGTTGGGATTCCCAGGTCTACGACCATTGTCCCCACAATCACGGGCAGACATATCTTCAATGGATACCCCAGGCCCCCGCCCCCACTACACACGCGCGCGCGCAACCTCAGCATGGCCAAGACTAAATGCTGGCCATCCCCCCGCCCCGAGGAAGGCACTAGCCCCTGGCCCAGCCTCCATCCCTCACCGCCCGCGGACAAGTCCCAAGCCCGCCCGCCCGGCCGCGCCGCGAGAGGGAGCCGCACTTACCAAGCGCCCCGAGCTCTCCCGCGCCTTCTTCACCTTCCCGTAGGTTCCCTTGCCCAGGGTCTCGAGGAACTCGTAGCGGTGGCGCAGGTTGTGCTTGTGGTGGTGTCGCTTCACTGCCTGCTTCTTCATCTGGGGCTTGGGCGACTTGATGAGCCTGTCGGGCAGGGGCCGGGCAAGCTCGGCGGCCGGGGCGGTGGCGGCCGAAGGAGCCGGGCCGGGCCGCCGGGGGAAAGCCAACGGCTCCATGGCGGCCGGATGGTGAGCGAGGGCGGAGGGGGAACGTGCTGCGAGGGGAGAGGTAGAGCCCGGGGCACACGTCCCGCACCAGGGCTGGGAACTCACAGCAGCAGCAGAACGCGCGGCAAGTCGCCGCGTTCCAAGTTGTTATAAACGCTTCGAGCCGGAGGCCCTGGCCACGCCCCCCCGCGCGTCCATTGGCCTGCTCGCCGGCTGTGCGTGACCAGGACGTCCCGCATTGGCTCTCCCGGGCCTCCGGCCCCGGCTCCACCCCCAGTCGAGGCCGGGAAAGGTGTCAAGGGAGCCCCGCCCACCTGGGCCCCGGAGGGACACGCACCGGGCATAGGGGACATCAGTGGGTACTACTGGGATCTGGAACTTTTGAAGGGCCCTGGAACTGCTCTTGCTTCCGAGTGGCACCCTGTCCTAGTTACAGCCACCTGTTGTCCTTCCACTGTACTGTGTTCTCTGTGACGAAGGGGCAATCTGACAGTTCTAGATGTCACCAAAGTATTTCTCCATCTGAGTACTTTGCATCTCTCAAGCCAAAAGTCTATGAAGTCACTGGATCACTTCTTTAAGACTATAAGGGGGGAAGGGGGAATGGAGAGGGATGGAGACTGAATCCAGCCAAGTGGGAGGGCTAGTGGAGAGCTGTTCCGGAGTTCTCACTTCACCTGTCTTCAGTTAGATCTACCTTGATTGGATCCCAGAAACATGGTTCTGGAAAGTTCCTATCTCTTCATCAAAGAACGCTTCTAGGGTTGAGTGGCTCCCTCAAGATGTAGAGGAATTTTTGAAGTTTTGGAAGGAGTTGGAGCAGACAAAGGGAAACACCCATCCATTAAAAAATGCATTACAATCCTATTATTTCACTTGTGTCCCCTAAATCTGTGTATAGCTGTCCCCTCAAAGTTTTCCTCTCTGTGATTTCAGAGCCAGGAGGACGGTTGGTAGGTCATGAGATTTGGCTTGGTATTTAAGGCCTGGAGCACTGTCATTTACAAAGAAACGAAACTATCCATAGTCTGTCCTCCTTCCTCTAGATGCGAAGAGTAATAGGGAGAAAGAGACATTTCCCCTTGTGTCTTCACGCTAACTCCAGTTTTTTGTGGGTCCAGTTTTGAAGTGGGTCTTATTTTGCCAAAGGCCATCCAGCCGGTGAGAGTATGGTAGAGCTGGGATTCAGACCCCCAGGAGGATTGTGTCTCCAGCTGTGTATTCAGGACATCAAGATCAAGATCAAGATCAAGATCAAGATCAAGAAGGACTACATCCCCAGTGACTGAATTTTGCATTTAGTGTCTGCCCACTTTCCTATTTCCACTGATCCTTTGATCCTCTCTAGTGTGTGTTAGGGATGGAGAATACATCCTTTGTAGCTAGAGAGGATCCACTTAGGCAGGAAACCAACCTCCCTTCCCCCAAATCTGGAGGGCCATGGGAGGTGGTAGCCAATTTGGTATTCTTCCCTGTGCCAGCCTCCCTTCTTGCTCTGAATCATCTGAGAAATGAGAACAAGGCCCAGGTAACAGTTCCCTTGACCTGTGTCCCCTGAGATCTCCATCCATCCTGGGGGCCCAGCTAGCTGGGGCCTCTTAGAGTTCTTAAGAGGAAGCACAGGTAGTGGTAGAGGGTGAACAGGGCCGAGTACTGGAAGACCTGAGTTCGAGTCCTGCTGACATCAACCAGTTCTGTGACCTTTTACTAATCACAGTAATCAGTCATTCTACAAATAAGGGGGCCCACTAGGTGCTGGGCCTATGGATATACATGATGGTGACAAGGCGTACATGGTTTCTGCCCTCAGCGAATTCTCAGTCTAGTGAGAAATAAACAAGCAAATCCTAGCCAGAGGAAGATGTGTTCAAGACGGGAGAAGAACGGAATGCCCTTGGGGTGTATAACAGGAGGGAGCCCCTAGCCTGGACAGGAGGAGGTCAGTCAGAGGCAGCTTTCAGAGACAGGGCCTTTTAAGTTGAGACCTGAAGAGTGGGGGACGGCCAGATGAATCAACATCTCCTCATAAATAAGGTGAAAGAATCATACAGATGAGCCTAAGTGTCCCTTGCAGGCTTAATCTAGATTCCTATGAATTCTTCCAGATATGCCCAAGACTGCTAGTGCACGGCTGGGCCCCCCAAAAGGCACTCGATGGATGCTTATGAACCAAAGAACATACATGCAATGTGATTCAAAGACTAAAGTGAAAGCATCTATAGATGATTGATTTTCCTCCATCACCGCTGAACTGGCCATGGCCGTGGGGAGTCGATCTCCTGCGCCTCCTGGGCCCTCCCCACCCCACTTCAGCTTCCTTTGACCAGAATGTGAATCCCTCTTTAGGGGGCAAGCCAGGCATGATCAAAGACCCCAGAGAAAAGAGATCTGCCCTGTTCCAGCCAGGTGCAGCCTGATGGCCCCTGGGGGACTACAAGACAGCAGTGATGAGCGGACCTGGCTGCTGTCTGTCCACAGAGACAGGCCAAGCAGGCAGACACAGACTCAGACAGAACCGGAACAGTTTGCGACTCGGAAATGAGCTTCACCGCTGAAACTCAACTCTCAGATTCCTTAAAGGGAGACCTGGTCTGTCGCAGCAGAGTGAGAATTCCCTGACAGGGAATCTGATTATGTCAGGGGCCTCGGCTGCTGCAGATTTTTAGGACATTCCTGGGTCATGTGCTCGGACGTGGCTGGAAAGCTGGGCTGAGCTAGGCCATGTCAGTCCTGCTTCCCCACCATCCCATCCTGGGAAGGGGAAGCCTATCCACCTACCCCCACATCCTGTCACTGATCACTGTCTGAAGGGCTCTGGGGAAAACTGTTCTTTGGGCCTACTAGATGCCACAGTGGGCAAGCAATTAGAAACAAGTGTCTGTGCCAGTCCAGACACACTTTACAACCTGTGTGCGTGCGTGTCTGTGTGTCTAGACTAGTAAAAGCAGATGTTAATGTGGCTCAGAGTGAGGACTTCTGTGGGGTGTGGAGGGCAGGGTGCTGGTGGGAGAGCAGGTGAGGGACACCAAGGCCATGTTTTGGGGGTGAGGGGTGAAGCATTTCTTTTGAAAAAGAAACACATCTAAGATGAGCCTTGGGGTGGGGGGGGTGACTAAGAATTAGCTCTCTGCTCCCAGGAAGTATACAGTTTAGTAAAAGAAATAAGATAAATGCACAATTTCTTGTATAACCCGAGGCAGATGGTGGGAAGGTGCAAGGTGCCATGTGAGGCTGAAAGCGTGGGTCTTACTCTGACTCAGGGGTTTGAGGGAGGGCCTCACAGGGGGTCAGGTGGGCCTGGAAGGAAGAAGTATGAGGAACAGCCTTCAGGGATGGGGTCAGGGTAAACGATTGGAGGAGATAGAGTGTGTTGGGGGGGAAGGGGGGGTGCGGGAGAGGGGAGGGCGGGGAAGAAGAGTAGAAAAGGATCAGCCAAGCACTCTCTGGATCTGATGAGCTTTAGGGGGGCTCCCAGGACCTAGAGCATCTCCTCCCTTGGGCTTTATCTCAATATTGATGTCTGAGCCCATCTTTCCTTTTCTTTGGGAAAAGAGCTACTGCAGGCTGGAGGGCCCAGCTCCTCATGCCCTTCCAGCCTGAGACCCCAACCATTATATTTTCTTCCCCCGGAGCTCTGAGGACAGGTTACAGCGCTCAGTCACCCCCAGGTAGTGGACAATCTGGCTTTGAAGGTGCCGACCTTCCCCTCTCAGGGGCTGGTGGAACTGTCTGGATAGGAACTGTGTGTTAGAAGTGGCCCTCCAAGATCAGGAGGCGAGAGTCCAAAGAGAGGGTTGTAAATTCTGGAAGTGGCTGACAAGTTAGGATTCCCTGACTCGATGCTGCTCTCTTCTGACCAGCCTAAGCCTAGCAAGCTTTATGGGATGCCCAAAGCTGTGACCACAAGCTTTGTTCTGCTTAGGTAATTGTTCCTGCAATGAGCCAATCACTCGTTCGTTCATTCATTCCCTCATTCATTCATTCCACAAATATGTACTGAGCGACGACAATAATAGGTATGAGAATATCTAACATTTATTGAGCCAACCCTGGCTCTGAATGGCTTAGATACAGTGTTATGTCCAAGACCACCTGGCTATAGCCGGGAGTAACAGAGCTGAGAGGCCAACCCTATCAGTCCAGCATCGTAGCTCGAGTTCCTAAGGGTGGCATTGCTTTGTGGTGCCCAAATGGGCTCTGGAAATACACGATGGAATGGTGAGCTGCTCACAGTCTAAATTCTGTAAGCCTTACCAGGAGCCTGGGGAGACTGTCCGCAGCAAACACTGAAAGCGGTCCCCGGATTGCTGGATTCTTATGGGAAATGGAATGTCATTCACAGGTTAGGCCCGGGAGAGGCTTGACCCTAGCTCTTGTCCCCACACCAGAAAGCTCGCCTGTCTCCTGCCTGGAGTGGCGGGGAGAGCTCATGCAGATGAAGAGTCAGGGGTCCTGGGTTCCAGCTCCTCTTTTAACCGCCAACCCACCCACTGCGGTCATGGCCAAGGACTTTCGCTCTCGAGGAAGTTTCTCATCTTTCAAAAGGGATTTGAATAAACCCGCTCTGAGTTCCATTTCGACTCTGCTGTGACTCCTCTGTCATGTCTAAGAAAGGACACACTTGAAATCTTCCTCATTTCCCTTCTTTGCCCACCTGGGAGGTCATCCCATCACTATGAGACACTCAGGAGCCCCACCCCCTTTCCCACCCCCGGGGCTGGAATGATGTTTTGGCTCAGGAATCTGGCAATCCAGATTCTGCCACTCACTGGCTGTGACTATCTCTCATCTCGTGGCAACTCCGTGGGCAAGAACTGTTGTCTTTTATATATAGCTAACGCTCTGTGCGCTGACCACTGCATAAAAGGGGTCTATCCTCACCACGTGAAGTAGGTGCTGACATGTGATTACCCCCATGACATGGATGAGGAAACTGAGACAGAGAAATTCAAGAACTGCGGTGTCATAAAGCTGGCGAGTCATGGGGTTAGATTGGAGCCCAGGCAATCTGGCTTCAGAAACAG